CTCACACCCCCATCTCTACTCGCCTCACGGCCCCCCGCACGCTGCCCCCGCCATTTTGCGCCGCGCAGCCTTTGTGCCCGTGGGCCCCGGCGCCACGCGGCCCTGCTCCCCCCGGGGSTTGCCGCCCGCTGCCGCCCCCCCGCCGGTGGGCGGTGTGCGTATGTGGGGAGGGGACTCTCACACGCCCACCCCCCGCCGCCTCTCTCCCCCCGCGCATCTCCCCCGCCCCGCCCGTTACCTGCTGCCTCCGAACCGCCCGGCGCGCAATGAGGAGGTGGCGCAGCCCCGCTCCGCCACCCTTTATAGCCGCGTGAGGGTAGGGCTGGGGCCCGCCCCGCCGCGACGCCGACGAATGGTAGCGCGGGGGCCGGACCGGGCTACGTGCGCCCGTGCTGCGGGTGCGGCCGCCGAAGACTCCCCCTGCTTCCCCCGCCCCGCCGCCCCCCGGTAACAAAGGCCCCGCGCCGGGAAGGGGGAGTCCGCAGCGATCACACTCCCGTTGAGCCACCCCAAGGGGGTTGGCGGTGGGGATGGCGGTGGTGAGAGATACACCGGTCCTTGCGGGGAGGTGTCCCCAGGGCGGGGATGGGCGGCTGCGCCACTGCCCGAGGAGGCGGGGAGGGACCACCGGGTGATGGCCGGTCAGGGGCTGCTCCCGCCGGAYTCTCTGCCGTTCCTGAGGATGGTATGCGCTGTTTCCACCTGGTAACAAAGGGCTGGCAGTCACCCGCCCTGGATGCAGCCTGTGCCCCCCTGGATGGAGTAGTATCCAGTATCCGAAGGAACCTACAGGGAAGGCGGAGAGGGACTCTTCGTCAGGAGCTGTAGTGATAGGATAAGGAGTAATGGGTATAAATTGAAAGGGGGAAAATGTAAGATGGRTATTAGGACGAAATTCTTTACTGTGAGGGAGGTGAGGCACTGTAACACGTTGCCCAGGGAGGTTGTGGATGCCCCAACCATGGCAGTGTTCCAAGCCGGGTCGGCTAAGGCCTTGAGCAACCTGCTCTAGTGGGAGGCGTCCGTGCACGTGGCACAGGGGTTGGAACTGGATAATCTTTACGGTCCATTCCAACCCCTTAACATTCTGTGATTCTATGGCTGCAAGGGCAAAAGGGCTGCAGGGATGCTGGGGTCATCCCGAGCAACCTGCGGGATCCCAGGCGTCTCCCATTTCCCCCGGCACGGGAGCTACAGGCTGAAAGTTCTCCCACCCCCATCCTGGGACCCCCGTCTGGGTGGGTTTATCCGGGCCTGCTCTCGAGGCGGCCCCCAGCAGGCCACKGGCTGCAGCGTGAGCACCATCTTAATGAGGCACTGCGGCACTGCTGCCGCTGCCCGCGGGACGTGACGGCGGAAATCCTGCTCGTCTGCCGCCTCGGCCCGCCTTCCTCGGCTGCCTGCGAGGAGGAAGCGCTCCCGGCATGGCCGCTGCCCGGCTCCCCGCCCCTCGTCTGGGCTCCCTGCCCCCCTGTGGGCTCCSTCACCAGAGAGGGAGCCCGGCCAGGCTGCATCCCCCGGCTCCGTACGGGGCAGGTGCCGCGGGACGAACCCGTGTTAGGTACAACACCCAGAGCACGCATAAATGCCAAGTATCCCATCACGAAGGAACGTGTGGGAACAGTGGGCATGCAAATATGGACTGATGGAGTGGGTGGGGGTGGTGGGAGCTGGAATGTCCCTCTGGCTGCTCGGCTGAGCAGGGCTTTGAGGATCAGGAGCGGGGTGTGGACTGGGTGAACCACGCAGGTACGGGGGTGGGGGGCAGAGAGGGGTCATGCAGCTCAAACGTAACCCTACTCTCCTTRTACCACTGCTATTCCCGGTGCTGCTGAGGGGCTGGTTGTCTAAGTTTAGACCCAGCTGAGGTTACAACCTTTTCTTAAAGGCCAGGACATGATGATGGCTCGCGTGGCACAGCAGCAGGGCTACGAACTCGTGCCGGGGTCCGTGGTGCCCCAGCCGCAGCCCACCGAGGGAGGCTCTCAGGGGAAGCTTCAGCGCAAACAGGAGGCCCCGATGTTTGTTCTGGCGGGGGCAGAGTGCGGCCGGGGTGAGCAAATGCGGCCCTTGTGCCCCGTGCCCGGTCGATACCTCCTCACCCGTGTCCGCCCCCCCGGCCGCACTGCACCGCGCCGCAGCCGCGCGTGCCGCACGCCCCACGCGGAATGGCGGCGGCGGCGGGGCCCGGCACGGTCCCGCGCGTGGGGCCGGGGGCGCCGGGCGGGCTGGGTCGCCGCCTCCCGCCCGCCCCCCGGCCGAGGGCAGCCACCGCCGAGCCGGGACGAGGCAAATTAGTACAGCTTGTTTAATGAACGAGTCCTCGGGCACGGGGAGCAGGGAGGGGGCTGCCGGCGGAGCGGGGGCTCTAGCTGGCGGTCGCGGGGGGCAGCTGCGGAGCCGGGCAGCTCCTCCTCGTACCGCCGCGCCGCTTCCTCGCTGCCGCTGCCTCCCTTCTTTGGGGCGGGAGCTTCAGGGCTTCGCGCAGCGGTACCGTACCGCTTCCCAAGCCGGTGCAGGTTCCCGAGCCGTGCCGGTTTCTGGGGCTGGGTGCTCTCCGGCTGCGAAGAAGCGGGCCTGGTGAGCCGCCCAGCGGCGTCCCGCCCGCCTGCTCTCACCCCGGCMGGGTCCCAGCACGGCGCCGGCAGCCCGGGGCATCTCCGCTCCCGGCCCTTGCCYCGGCTGCTGGCAGGTGCTGGTCCCACAGCCTGCCCCACTGCTCCCATCCGCTTGAGCACTGTCTGCGCTCAAGTCTGCCCTAGACTTGTTCCCTGCCCGCTTGCTCGAGCCTGCACTGTTGGCCCTCTCACTTCWGAGGCCTCCAAAGCTAACACCCCAAACCACTGAAGGTCCCGATTCGGTCCAGTTTCAACCCAAAGCAACCCCTGGGCATGGCCTTCCAGGCCCAATCTCCAGGCAGTGCCCACTTGCGACTGGCGAGGTTCTTGCGCCAGAGGGAAATACGGGCAGCTCTAGTCCCAGATGGGAGGAATGGGAGAGTAGAGGAGAGCAGCTGAGGACCAAAGCTGGACCCCTCCCTCGTGTCCTCTTCAGTCAGCGTGGACTTGGGCTCCAGGGGCAGCAATCGTGAAAGGAGCATCTGGGATAAACAGAGGAGAGTGGGGTGATGCCTGTGCTACTGGTGGTAAGCCATGTACCTTTAGTATCCGTTGTCCACACTCTCCTTAGGGCTCAGGCAGGACATAAAATGATGCCTGCCCATAGCACTGTGCCTGTGACATTGCATCCAGACACAAGGAAGGGCTTGACCAGCAGCTCCCACTGTCTGAAATGACTTGCTGTCCAAAACAGCAGGCAGACAGCTTCTGTGAGCTCTGCCTGTGGGCAGATTGCCCTACTCTTGTAAAACCATACACACATCCCACTCTGTCCCAGATTTGCAGGGTAACTGCCTACAGTCCTTGCTCCTTCTGTGGATGCTGAGCACCTCTGTGTGCTCAGGCTGCTGAGTGGCATTTCATTTTTTCCAGAGGGCTGCTGGGAAGGATTTGGCCTGCCTTAAATACCTGCTGATAAAGACAAGGGAGAGGCAGGACTAGAGCAGGTGTGAAGAAGGGAGACTACCCCTCTGCTGGAAATCCTCTAGGTTAGCTGTGCTGACTTTAAATGCCCAGCACTTCGGGGAGACAAGGACTGGGGGGTGTGTGCTGTGRGGTATGGCATGGCTGCCCAGAGAAGAAGCTTGTGGGAACCGTTCCACATCTGTCTCTCACGTGGATGCTGAGCTAAGGTTGAAGATGCCTTTGTGCAGCTCTTTGCAGTAGCGAGTTAACTGAAGCGGACACAGGCATCGTCAGTGAGGAGTGAAAGTGTTGAGTCATAGCAGGATCAGTCTTGTGATTTTAGTTCATGTCCTGACTATTTCCCTGTGGCTTTTCCAGGGTGATGTAAAGGCAAGGTGCTGGGGCTCAGGTTAGGGTTTGGGTAAGAGGGAGCCAGCTAGGTTTAAAAAACAAAAATATTGTGTAATCACTGAGGAWAAAATATTTACTCAAGTGAAGAAGCCTTTAGCTGGCATCCTGACATGGCTCTTAGCCTTAAAGAGGGTCCTTAAGCAGGGTAGTATTGAGCTTAGGAGCAAAACTCCTGGCCTAACAGGATGCATCTTCCCTCTGAAACATCAGAACTGAAGCACTGGACATGACTGTAATATMTGGTGGCTGCTGACACAGAGTGGGCTTCGAGAGAACCAGGCTCATTACTGCTAAAAGCTTTTGCAGAGCACTAAAAAGCTTTTGTCTGTTTCCTGTCCTGAAATGCTGGTCTTGAAATCCTTAGAGGCTGGGTTATAAAGTCACCCTAGGGTTGAGGCTGCTGAAGGGGAGAGTGCAACAAGAATGGACAGCAGCCTCCTTATAGCTGGAATTTGAGACCACCACTCATTCCAGGTTCAAACAAAATTTCCCCTCCTCCTCCCCTCCTGAAATCAAGCTCAGCTCTCTCTCAGTCCCTCCTACCTGTAGCCTCTGTCCTGGTAAGGACACAGTCTGAACGCTGGCAGAGAGCAGAACCAAGAAGAGGAAAAACGAGCAAGGCCATGACTGAAACCCCAGCATCTTCTTCTTATCCCAGGGCTGGCAGGATGCAAGGCAGGACCTGCAGCATCCGTGTTAGATGTGGTCCCTAGCCCCTCTCTGCCTTTATAGCTTTGGTTCTGGCAGGCGAGTGGCCCCAGCTCCCTGCTGAACCACCCCCTGGAGCTCCTTAACCTTTCAGCCCTTTTGTCCAGAATGATATATTTCAGGGTGAGCTCAGCAAGACCCCTTCCTCTAAAGAAAAAGGATACAAAGGTGTTTACTGAGTGTCTGCAAAGACAAATGTGAGTTGAGCTGCTGCTGGCCAGGACCTGGAKGTGTCTGTAAGGGTCAGGGACATGGTGACACTTTGAAACACATCCCAAAAGGAGGATATTGCAGGCTGCATTGTGTAGTAGTATTGAACATACTCCTTGTAGGCAGAGTGTTGTTAATGCTATTTCTCTAACCAGCGTGAGCATGAGCTACAGCTCAGCTAGAGGTAGGCGCASTGCTGGCTGCACAGATCAGACACAAGTTCAGCCCTGTGACAACACAGGCTTTTGTTTTTAATATTTATATCTTGGTGAGACAGTTGGGCTGGGAATGAAGCCCTCCTGCTGCAGAAGGTGGGTGAATTCCAGTACTATACAGAATTTGTGGCAGTGACAGGAGCGTGGGTCTAGTACTATTGGGCATATAATTTGCGGGCTGTTTGTCCTGAGTCACCATCTGGAGGACTGGACTGAGTTTCCAGAGGAACCGTCACAGARAAGAGCTTGTCAAGACTCAGCTTGCACTTTCTCAAGCTCAGGCACACAATGGGAGCAGGACAGCAAGGAGCAGATTCCTACCTCCTAAATCTTCTGGCCGTTATTTCCCCTCACTTTGTTTGCCTCTTCCATTTTACTGTAGTTTCTCACCAGCTGAACAAGGCAATGAGGTCACTGTTTGGAGTTCAGGGTGCAGAAGTCAGCCTGGGTGTGAAGACAGAAGCTAATCAACAAAGTTTGTCAGGGGAGAGGAATGGGGGAACTGTACCCCAGTACAGGGTTAGCAATAGCTGTGCTGAGGGAGTTTAACAACACCCCAAACTTCCCTTTGTTCAGTATTGTTGCACAAAACAGTTGGTTCAAAACTTGACGGGAAGTGTTCTGCTGCCTGCTTTTATTTTTTTCAAGGAAAGAAGAAAATTTTTAAAAAGTCTTCAGAGATAATGGAAGACGCACTTCAGTTATTTTGGTTTCTTTCCCTCCTTGCTTCCCTTTCTTCCTTCCAGGCACTTTGCACTTGCAGATAAAGATTTTTGGGTCCATTTCTTCCCTACACAAGGAGGCAGAAAGTTTTGCAAACCATTTTGCATCCAGTCCCTGAGAAGTGAGTAGGGTACTTCAGTCTGGAGCGCTGATGCTGGAAGCAGGAGAGACTTTGCACAGGTGGGGCCATCCAGTTTTGTTCKCTCCACCTGATGGCTGCGACCCACGGCTGGTGCTGTTTCCAGAGCAATGCAATGCTCTGGTGATCCTGTCTGGCATTCCCATCACCCCGTCACCTGGGCCAGCATATGAAGGGGCTCCCAAGGCCTGACCAAGACGTTTTGTGGGAAACTGGTTACTTCATACCAACCTTATAATCTACAAAGTACAGGACTGCTAGAGAGTCATGGGACACAGTCCCCGTGTGAGCATTCAGATGGGGTGCCTGGGCGCATGTGGAGTACGGGATGTGTGCGCACAGCTGGCCCCTCCTTGTGCTGGATGCGGTAGGGTGTGGAGCGGTGTGGTGTCGAAGTTTCAGAGGGATGGAAAAGAAAGGAAGGATGGGAARTGAGCACATGTTCATGCTGCATGCAAGATGCCCCAGAGGATGCTGTGCTGTACTTCCCAGTCACATTTGGCCATCCAAGAACAGCTGAGTCAGTGTGTTCAAGCTCTCCTGCTGCCAGCAGGATGGCTGCAGGCAGGCACAGCTCCGCTGGAATGCACCCTTTGCACGAGTCAGTCACTCCTTTCCTGAGTGAAAGGTAAGTGCAAAAGCAACAAGGCTTTGGCTTTGATACCAAATGTAGCAGCAGTTTGATCTGGCATCCCTTGAATGGGGTGGCCCCCATACTACAAGAATGCCAGAAATGTGTTTGCAACTGCTCCAAAATTCCAGTCCAGTTGCACAAAGACTGAGCCCTGCAGGGGTGGACAGGCTCTGAGAACTCAAATGACAAGTGCCCTCCTTGGGTTCAGCAAGAGCGGGGGCTGGCAAGAGGGAAGGAACCATCACTCTCCCATATCAAGCAAGAAACTTCAGASACAGCAGAAAATTTGCAAATTTTCTTGCAGATTCTTCTAAGTTCTTGCAAATCCAGCAAAGCCTGGATAAAATGCAGGTACTCAGTGACTCAGGTGCTGTGACGTTGCAGTTGCTCTGCGTCCCAGATCCCTGCTGGGACTGTAGAACTGAATAGTTATTCTTACATGGCCTGGCAATGACTGTGAAGTGAAAAGGCTTTGGCAGACGAGTCCCTGATTGCCCCAGTTTTCTCAGACTCAAATAGGTTATTGTCTCTCTTTTCACTCTGATGCTAACAAGTTTCCTTTATAAAAACCCTTCCCCCTTGGATGCTTGGGCACTGATTCTAGAGCTTGCAAGGCCAAAAAAAAATGGTCTCCTGCTGAATCATAATCAGTCTTCTGCAAACAGTTGCTTATATAGGAAAAGAGTAGGGAAACTGGAGACTAGGAGGTCTGGGAACTAAGTGAAGTATCCTGAGGGAGCACCCCTTGGCCTAAGGTGAGACAAAGGGATGATAGTTGCTGCAGCTCTGGAAGCATGCAATATTCACATTATTCCGTTGGTACCACTTGTAGTTCAGAGCAACCATGGTCAGGAGTSCCTAGAGAATGCAAATGCCATTGATCTTGGCACTGAATAATCCCACTGCCTCAGGAACAAGGGAATGGGATAATTCCTTTGGCAGTGATTTCTGGTCATTGTGGCAGCCACCAAAATACCTGTTTGTGAGGAACAGAAGGGCAGCGAAGATCTGCTTAGGCTGTAATTACAGTGTGGCTGCCCAAAAGCSTCTCGGGTTTTTCCTGATCTTTCTTTAGGACATCCTTTGTCCATGACACAGGAATGCTAATTCTTCCCATATGAGGACAGTGAGGAGAAGATGCTCCACCTGAACAATCTGCAGAAAGGGACCAACCAGAGCTCTCACTCACTGACTTTTGACTCTCACTTGCCCAGGCAGCATGGTGTCTGGGACAGAGCAAAGGACARTCTCCAAAGCAGTGAAGGAGGCAAYGTRTCAGTTCAGTCACAGATTGTCTGAGATGGAAGGAGGGTTTGGCAAGTGACTGCAAGGATCTCCTGAAGGAAAAAGTTCAACCACTTGTAGTGGAAAACTATGGCCTGCAGGTGAGCCAATGCTTGAATTTTATGGCCACCTCACTTCCTCTATCCACCCATTCATATCTCCCCTATTGCAGTATTGTCAACATATTATCTCACATCTACGCAAGATTTATTGCACAGACTTGTAAAGCYGTGAGCCTGGGCAGACATTCATATATGCTGTCCTTTGCTTTTTTTATTCCCATATGTGTATGTCCTACCCTGTGGGTGATAGGRAAATCACGTATGGTATGCATGACTCTGTCGTGTTTACTGCCAATGTATAGCGCTGCCTCTGCTTCCTGGAGCCTTCACTGAATATTTTATCAGGGAGGAGGAGAGAGGGACAATATTGGTGTAGCTTTCTGATCTTTGTATTTCACGTGATTGTCGTCTTGCTACTGGCRTACTCTGGAGTCAGTGTATCTCTATTAGTATTTGGCTGTTAGGCTGGTGGCAAGTAGCTGGGTATTTTTAGAGTCATGGGAGTCAGGAGTGGTGTTTGGTCCACATGGTACACCCCAGTAAATTCACCTGTATCATCATGCCATCATTCTACTTGTTTCTGCAAGCTTTTAATATGTTTATATCCATTCAGGTATCAGCATAAAAAAACACACCGAGGTCAGTGCAAAGCTATGCAATTCAGAATTGGTTTTAATAGGGATCAAGATAAACTACAGCAGCTGCTTCTGGAGCCAGGCCAGCAGGGAACTGAGCACCATGTTCTACTTGTTGGGTGAACCAAGGGTGACCACAACTGTGAGAACGTGGTAGATCCTCAGAGACTGCAGAGGGTCTGTGGGAACCTGCTGATAGGAGGAGGCCCCTTCCCATTCCTGCCCAGGTAGTGACTAGTGTGCTTTCTAGGCAGCTGACARGTAAGAGGATATAATTCTGTAGTAAGAGCTGTGGGACAAATTCCAACTTGCCTCTAGACAGAAGGTTAAAGGTTATTTGTGTGATTAACACAAAATATAATTTAGGGCACTTCATGTTCACAGGGCAGTTTAAGGAGTGCCAGGACTGACTGGAACACTGATGTGGCAGTCCTGAAAGGAAAGAATAAGTGCCAGTTTTATTTGAAACATAACTGGATTTGCCACAAATACATTCCAGAAAGCAATGAGACAATCAAGGGTATCAGTATAATTAGTAACTTACCAAATTAGTGTTAGAAGTTAATTCTAAAGTTTTAGTGTCAGGTTGCTTTTGTTTTGTTTAACTTTTAAAAGATGTATTTTTTCCCTACTTACTTTGCATATCGTTTATTGAAGTGCTCTAGTCTAAGTTAGCCTCTATCTCCTCACATCCCACTCCCTGAACTCTTCTTTAATGAGATATGTACAAGAAAAAGATGCAGATACCTTCCCCTCAAAACCCTGCTTGGCTTTACAGGACAAGAGCTTCAAAAGGGATGAAATAYAAAAGGCCCTAAATCTGGCACAACTGTACTGGTCCTGTATTAAAAGCTGAATAGTGTAGTATAAGCACATTTGTATTTTGTACTCTGTGGGTAGTTTGGCTCTTCTTAGAAAGACTTTCTTCCAGACATTTTTTTTTTTTAATAAGAAAAGCTTATCCTCATCTGCAAAGCCAGGGCAAAATCAGTCCAACTGGCAGCTATGTTCATCACTGCCTTTTTTTGTGGA